GCCCCAATCTTTTCTTCTCAAATGAATTTCTAAGATTCTTAATATTTCAAAATATACTTTTCTTTACTTTAAATAATTAACATACTCTTATTCTTTTATACTAAATATCTTAATCTACAAAATCAATTTTCCTTACAAAAATTTTCCTTTAAATCGACCATAATATTTAAATATTTACAAAATATAGTTATCTGAATTAAATTCACTACAAAAAAATCATATTAATATTTTTTGAAAATATTTAAATTGAGAACATCTAACAGTTAATCTTTTTCTTCTCTCCCCCAAACTTAAATTCTTCAATATGGAATGATACAGGTGGAAAGAAAGATTCTAAATATAAATCATACCTTAGTATTTTAGGCATTTTCATCATTCTGAAATTTTTGCAGTTCCTTCTCAAAATTTTACTTCAACTGGTCTGTAATATTAAGAGCTTCCTATACATATAAATCATTAGAGAATTTGCTGGGTAATGAAATTTGGAAATAAGTACAAAACTAAATATTATACAAACACAATATTTCACTAACACATCACAATATTAAATAAAAACAACTACAAATACACCACAATGCAAAAAAAAAAATCACATCACATTACAATTTTACAAAGTACTAATTAAAGTCTATTACAACTACAAATGCAATTTTTAAACTACAACACTAAACACTTATGCAAACATAAAATAAAATAGACAATAAAATGAAAGTACAAACAACAAACATCTATCTCTATCACAAAATCACAAAATAAAAGTACATCAATCACTATAATATATCAAAATCCCATACTATATCCTTGTCTCCCTGGTCAGCAGGTGGATTGGGCTGATACTTAGTATAACCGGGGCATTCAGGAAAAGTAACATCAGGCTCACCTCTGTAGTGTCGGGCCTGAGCTTCATAGTAATCTATCTCAAAGTCAGAATGCTTCTGTAGGTACTCACTATCATAATCATTTCTACATTCTAATCCCCCAATTCTTTCATTTAATTGCTCTATACTCTTCCGCTGTAAGGTTAACTCAGGACATTTCTTTCATTTAATTTCCTCTGTAGGTACTCACTATCATACGGTCTTCAGGACTATTCAAACTTTAAATTAGTCATTGTTCTTTATAGCATCTCTAGTAAGGGTAAGGAATATTATTATTCTTATTTGACGCAACACAATTTGCATACTTCCACAACAGAATTCCTATTACTTATTACTGATTTATGATAAGAAGAATGATATTTTTTATCTTTAGTGTTCTTCTTCTGCAAATACTCTAGTTATCTTTTTAAATTGTTATTGTTCTATCAAAATATTGAAAATATAAAAAATATTCAAATTTTCATTACTGCAAGAATCACCTTTAGTTTAATAAATTGTCTTTTTAAAAATAAAAAGTTTCTAAAATTGCATATTGCATAATCTCCCTGTAGGTTCAATATTCAGGTTTTAATCAAAAAGTCGTATATTACTTGATAACGATACGCATACTTGCGTAGTATCCCAATATATATAAATTGAAAGTTAAATTCTTATTTTTCTTCAGGATCAAGTTTTTAGTTTTGTTTCAAAATAAGGAAATATAAGTGAAAAATATAATCAAAATTATTATTATACTGTTGCATATAAGCAGTAATTCAGGATCAGTAACTTCTTAAAAGTGAAGTCTGCCAGTCCACCTTTTCTATGTATAGTTTCGTGACACCAAAGACAATAGTCATTAGGAATTCAAGCAAGGTATTTTTCTATTAAATGTTTTAAAGGACCGCTCTCTTTCTTGCATTCAAAAAAATGCAAACTATTCTTCCACAAGGAGCCACATGTGCCACTATCAACAAAAAAAGTAAACTTTAAGTGCATCCTTGGAAAATAACCCCTAATTATATGGAATTAACTCTGCTTTGAGCCACAATCACAAACAAAGGTGCTCATCATAATTTCTATTTTCTTTTAGTAGGTAGTGGTCATCGATTCAACCACAATTTCTCTAAAAGGCTAGTGATCCCATGAACACAATTTGTGCAAGTTTAGTGTGTAATTATTTCAATTTTAATTAAATAATTCTTATTTTTCTCCACAATTCAATTTTAAATACTAAGGATACTACGCAAGTGCACGTATCGTTTCAAGTAATATAGGAGTATCTCTTATTCTCCAAGTGTTGATCCCTCGAGGAAGAAAAAACTCTTTTTATTGACTTAGTAAAACTCTACTTAAACAGTAGGTAAATTATCTAGAAGCCTTTTTCTTTATATATATATATATATTAAATCTTCATATTTATATATATATATATATATATATATATATATATATATAAAAAGAAAAAGGCTTCTAGACAATTTATATATATATAGACACACACACACATACACATACATAGATATATATTCTCCGCCAAACTGCAGAACATAGCTGTGTACTACAAACAATTAGAGGAACAGCAATACATTGATGCGAACACTTTATCTTCTATATGTAATCTGCACTTAATAATTTCACCTACTAATATTATAAACCGGAGGACGAAGCCGCACGCTATAAAAATCCAAGTTCAATCAAGCTGAAAAGGCGCACAAGAAATTCACATTACCGAGGAAACATGTTCACATCTATCATTTTCGTCCTCCTGTTTACAGAATACGAATATTACATCAAATTTACAGCAGCTAGATCCTCCTAATTCCAGAATACCTTAAGAACCGAATTAAAACGCCGTACCTTCTTTCATATCGCATGTGGACCAAAACAAGCGATAGAAGAGGAGTATCATCTAAAGTTCATCATGAGAAGAACTGTGGGCATGTGATGGAGATTGCAGGGCAAGGTCAGCCTCAAGTAAGAATTGCTGAGCCAAGGAAGCATGCAGAGCCGCACCATATGGCAATACATCCTCATTAACAGTGAAATATGGGGAGTGGCCGGGCCTCAGGAGCTCCCCCGACTCACTTTGCATTCCCAAAAAGTAGTAATATGTTCTCGGCACAATCTCGGTGAAAAAGGCAAAGTCCTCTGCGCCCATAACTGGATGCCTATCGCGAACATTACCAGGCCCTACTATTTCACCTGCAACTTTTAGGAAGTGAGCATGGAGGGTCTCATTGTTAATTGTTACAGGAAAGAATGGCCGTTCTTTCTCGAGGAAGTTCACCGTCGCGCTGCATCTTTGCACTGAGGCTTGCGCCACTATCACCTGGTGTGTTGTCATGATAAGTGAATCAGTAGTATCAGTAGGTGTTTCAAAAATTAAAACCATGCCAATTCTATCCGAACCCATTTTGAAAAATCTGGGTCCCATCTGAATAATTTTTGGGTTGGGTTTGGGTCAAGAATTCTAACCCATTTAATTCTTTAGGTAGGATTCAAATTGACGTGCCAACCGAATTGACCGTAATTGGCCCATTAACCAGAAATTGACTTGAAATTAACCTCTCAACCTTGAAATGGACTCAAAATCGATGTTGGTTTGCCACGAATAATTGTTATATCTTTTGTTAAATGGTTTATACGAGTCGAGTTCGAGTCAACAAATTGAAGATGGGTCAAGTTTGGGTTCGATTTTCTGACGTGTTTAATATTTGAGTCAAGCGGTTTCTAGTCGGGTCAATTTCAGGTCTGCATCAAACCCAGATAAATTTGATGAAGGAGATGCTATGAGGGTCACAAAGATGGAGTTGAAAATATACATACTTCTTCAATTCGTTGCTTGAGCTGGTAAAAGCTTTCTTTGGAAAAGGCCCTGAAAGTGCCGCCAATGGTGACAGAATCGGGGATGACATTGAAAGCACCTCCTCCCTGGAATTTTGCAACAGTCACCACCTGCAATTGAAGATTTACAGAAGGGTCAAACTTATAGAAGAAAATAATATTTTGAAGTTTCAAAAAAGGTGCAAAGTGAAAGATGAATACCTGAGAATCCAAAGGATCAGCTTCACGAGAAACAAGATGCTGCAAGCTAACAATAACATTAGATGCAGCTACTATTGGATCTATTGTGTGTTGTGGAATGGCGGCATGGCCTCCTTTTCCACTTATTACGGCCTCAAAGAACCCACTCCCTGCCATAATTGGCCCAGGACGGGATGCCACTACTCCAATTGGAGTATCAGTAGTAACATGGAAACCAAAGATAGCATCAACATTATCCACAGCCCCTGCTTCAATCATTTTCTTTGCTCCTCCGCCTCCTTCCTCGGCTGGCTGGAAAAGAAGCACAACTGTTCCCTGTGGCAAGAAGCACATGAAAATTCCATTTTATAAAGGTAACCGTAGAGCGTATAAATATAAATTTAATTTGAATATGTGAATTGCAGAAACATATTCATGTGATTCAAAGCAAAACTTCGTACAAAACACTCAAAACAAGAAAATCATAGAAAACACAATATTTAACGTGACGAAACCTAAGAACCAAAAAAAAACTATGGAGATACACCTCATCAAGAAATCCCTTATGAAGAAAACAATGAGAATCATACAAATAACACCACCTAAAGCCTCTCTACACTTTGAAAACTCAAAGATACTTATTTCTTCTCCTCTGCACAAGGAAAAATCGCCATCAACCACTACCAACTTGCAAAACCAAAATTTTATGTGAAAAATTGTCCAGAGTCGGTTAGTGGCGTCGGGAAGCTGTGATGGCAGCACTGCAACGCTCTAATGAGCACTAGGACACTGACTTCCGGGCACTGCAATGCCGTACTCTCGGGTTTTAAGACTTGACTGGGCATGGCGGGAAAGTCTTCTAGGCGTTGGACGCTACTAGATCGATGCTTGGGCGCTGCTGGTATAGCGCTGAGGCACTAGTTATAGAAAAAAAAATTTGGTGGCAAAGCACTCCTCCCCCACCCCCGGCAAACTCATTGGCGAGTTTGATCAGTGAAAATTGAGAGCTTTGAAATGAAAATTGATCAACACAATAGGCACAACATAATAACAAAAACAAGTCAAAAACAGTTTAGATTTAATGTGAGAGTTTCCAAGACACGTTGCTGTTTGCCAACAATGCCTTAACAAAAAGAAAAAAAAAACGAATGAACAACTTTCAAAGCAGATCAAAGAGAATATTAAAAAGGTTGACAGGGAGAAAACACTTATGGCGATCAGATGCATGAAATCAACAAGGAATATGGAATGGACTGAATAGTGAGAGGTTTTGCAGAAGTTTTGGTTGGACAACTAGACAGAAGTTAAAAGTTCTAATCGGACACACTATAATATAAAATTAACTGAAATGAATAAATATAGGTAAATACAAGAATGATATTAATTTAAAAGTACAACTTGAAAGAAAAAAAAAAATCATAAGAAATAATGTACAATAATTGAAAATTTCTAGGGAAAAGTAACATTATGAAGATTCACATTAAATATATTAAAGAGCAGAAAGTCCCAAAATCACTTTACAGGTTTTGTTCACTTTCTAAGTAAATGAAATGTTTCAACTTGGACAAGCAAATATTATTTTTAAATTAAAAAAAATAGCATATAGAAAACAAAATCATCATTGCAAAATAGCCGAGCTTCTAAACCAAAACATGATTTGTCAACTAAGAATTCTTAGTCGTTATGCGATTGTGGTAGAGCTTTACCTAGTAATGGAATATTAGGTTAAATGAATATTTTAATTTGTAAAATTTAAGCTATAATAACAGCATAATATCAAATTGTATTGTATATACTCCAAATACTGCTGATTAATGTAGCACACAAAATTGAAATTATTCAATAAATTTTATATATACCAGGATGCAAGAATCAAATTTTCGGAAGTACTTCAATAATTTTATATATACCAGGATGCAATAGTCTCTAGCTTTTCCTTCAAAGGATTTGTGCGCCAAGGGCAGATAATTTAAGTACTTCAATAAAAAAACCACTAATGATGTAAATTAAATGATAAATTTAAGACATAGTAATGAACTAGTAAAGAACTTCTTCTGATGGGGGCAGAGTTAGTCAAGATTTCTTCTTCCTCTTCTTCTTCTCCTCTTGTAAGATAAAGATGTGTGTTTGCCCTTGTGGCTAATTATCTTCTTCCTGCTCGATGCCTGTAAGTTTGTCTTTTAAGTATTAATGAATATTATACTCTGCTTGTTTGTTTGAGAACATGTTTTGTTTTATCATGATTTTTATCTATTCTAGCTACGCATAGGGTATGAAAGAAACTAATGTTGTGCTTTAAATCTCCGAAGTACTTGCATAAGGTTGTCGTCTGTATGGACCTGCATGGTCTTGTAGTCTTTACTTTCTCTAGAAAACCATAGAGAAAGGTGCAAGATGAACCGGAGATTCTAAGGTCAAACCCTAGAATATGTAGATATCATAATAAGATTACATGATTTTAAAGTTTCATGCAGAAGCATAATGGACCCTAATACTTTATGATAATCTTTCAGACAGAAGAGTAGGAAGAAATTCTTAAATATGAAAAAAAGAATTTGAAGAATTCGATATAAGATTACGACAATTAAAGAAAATCATATTAGAAAAATATAAGAGATACTGTACAAATTAAAAAAAAAAATAATTAATTTAAAAAATACTCCTGAACGAAATTCAATAAAAGTAGGTGAAAATTCAACTCCTTCAAGAGCTTACAAAATGGTATGAGAGCCAAATAATATGCAAGATGAAAAAGTTAATAAATTACATTTTGATACTTGAATTTATGAATTCTTACGAACATTAAATGAAAAATGAGAAAGAATTAAAAAAATGTTTACTAATAGAAAAACTTAAAGCAATGATTGAAGATCTTGATGTTGAATAAAAATTACCTCAAACAAGAATTCAATAGAATTTGTGAACTACTCTAAATTGATATAAAAAATAGTAGAAGTATTTACAAAAGAACAAATTTTTCATATAAGATCTCTCTTGAAAAACTTAAAGCAATGATTGAAGATCTTGACGTTGAATAAAAATTACCTCAAACAAGAATTCAATAGAATTTGTGAACTACTCTAAATTGATATAAAAAATAGAAGAAGTATTTACAAAAGAACAAATTTTTCATATAAGATCTCTCTTATGAAACACAAATGAATGGATTATAATAAGTAATATGATTTTAAAACAAGTTGATCTAGGACTCTATTCTGAAAGCATATCTAATGAATTGGTTAATCTATGGAATTAAACCTAAACCAATTATAAAAAATAAAACTAATTAAAAATATAATCCAATCTAGAAATAAAAAATTGCCAAATACAGAAAGTACTTCTAATGTATACGAATTAGGACAAAACCAAAAAATATTGAACAGCAATATAGCCACACCTGTAATTTTAGCTGAATGTTGTAATTTAGAAAAATTTACTACTAATCCAGAAATTCTAGAATGGACAAACACAAATAAATATAACTCTTCAGGAAATATATAAGGAGTTATACTTAATGAACATTCTCCTTCAGAAAATGAGATAAAAAATTTAATTAATGTCTTAACTGAACATTAACTTATTACTACACCTACACCTACTTGTTACTCATCTGCTGACACTCCATTTAACCAACCTATGGGATTACCCTCTTTATCAAATACTAACGAAGCCAGTACAAGCAAAAATACAAGTTCTTATCTCTGTTATTTACCTCCTAGCGTTAGACGAAATCCTACATTCAGAAATAGAATAAAATCTAGAAATGAAGACAACATATCTGAACCCATAAGCGGACATGATATTTATTTAAATATAGACTGTTGTAAAAATATTAACGAAAAAAACGATAAGTGGGTAATAGAAAACAACTTAGTCATATATAATTATAATTTAAAAGAAGAAGACGTCTTTGGATTTTTAGAAAATGCACTACTGGAATTGCAAAAAAGTGATTTATAGGATTAAATAATAATAAAAAAAAAATCAGAAATACTTGTATATCAGAAAGAACTATAGGAACACCTGTAAAATGACCAATTATATATGAAGATTTTATAAAAAGTGAATTTTTAAGATACAGAATTAGATAACACACTGAAATAAAAAAACAAAAGCATCAGTCAGATATAGCAAAATAGAAGATAAGAACATTAAATATCTGTTATTTAAATGAGTATAGTTGTGAGCATCAAAAATATTTTTATGATATTCTAGCTAATGACCGCTCATTATATTTAGACATATATTTTTACAAATTACTTGAACCATATAATATCATATAGAACCAAGAATTTACAAAAGTACATCAGAATGATATCACTTAAGGAAGCTGAATATATTATGCTTTAGAAAAAATAGCTGAAGCATGTCAGTATTTAGAGTTAAATAAAATAAATAATATAAAAAATCAATATGTTGTGAAAAATCTGATCTTCCTCAACAATGGGTTGTACCTTTTTCCCATAGCATGCAATTGTTCTGCAAAAAATAAAAAGAAAAAATTCTTTAAGAAGACACAAAAAAGACATTTTAATCCGAATAAAAGAACTTTTAGAAAAAAAATATATAAATAATAAAAAATAAGATGTTGGATTTGCAAATAAGAACTTACGCTAATAAATGTCCCCAAAGAAGTAAAATAAGCCACGTAAAATCAATAGTCATCATTGAAGAAAATAATTTAGAACCCATTTTCAATTTTTCCGACATTGAAAGTGAAGTAGAGATTTATCAATTATCTAAAACCGAAGACATTTAATAAATATAAGTTATTCTGATAATAAAATAGAATAATACTTATATTTTGATTAAAGGAAGAAAGCTCTGAAACAGATATAATTAATGACAATTCAATCGAATATGAAAGACATATACCCTATTCGAAGAAGCCTACAACAAAATAAGAAAAAGAAAATTATCTTTAGGAACAAAAAATTGTTTTAACATGCCCATATTTTGTGTAAAAGATCTATACAATATAGTATTAAACAAGGAGAATATCAAATAGATATAATAAACACACAGGAAAAAACCAAGATACCTCTATACAATCAACAAATAAAAAGACAAGATTTAGAAACAATAAAAAAACCCAAATAAAATAAACATTGATTTTTTGGTGGAATTCAAATTCTAATCAAAGCATATTTTTGAAAGGGTATTGATCGCCCAATTATTATTTGGAAATAAGATGATATAATTATACACTCTAAAAAAGACGCTTTGTTAGGAGTTATACAAGAAAAATTATGTTATCAAACCTTAATATTTAATTTACACCCTGATTATGTTGTAAATATAAATGATAAACACCTTGATAAACCCCTAACATTAAA